ATTGAGCCTTGTAGTGTATTTAATGAAAGAGATAAGGGGCTAGCAAAGATCTTCTGTTAAAATGGTAAATTGTTTTCTGTACATTATCCTTGAATCCATCTAAAGTTATTTAAGTGTAAGAGCAGAAGGATGCTCTAGAACAGTAGTTCTCAACCTTTTTAATGCCGCAACCCCCAACCGGTCATAACCTAAGGATTACTCAACCGGTCGTAAGTCGAGGACTACTCAACTGGTGCAGCACCGTTTGCAGAATGGACTTTTGGCGGGCTCAGCAGGGCAGAGACAGCCTGGACAATTCCTATTGGTTTTTGAAAGCCAATAGAATTAGACTCTATTCAAGAGAGTCTATTCTATTGGCTTTCAAAAGCCAATAGAATAAAAGGGAGTAGCACAGCTAAGGAAAAGGGGGAAAAAATGGCGGACTGCGTTGTTTGGCGACCCTCGAGAAATGGTCGTTCGACCCCAAATGGGGTCCCGACCCACAGATGGAGAACCAATGCTCTAGAAAATTAGATCCAGGCATGCTTGGCTTTGAGAAGCCAAAGAACAGGTGTTTGATCCTGACTTTGTTCTCTGGGCAGGAAATTGGTGATGTCGAGAACTGGGCACGGAGTATTGAGATGGATATGCGGACCATTGCCACCGCTCTGGAATATGTTTACAAAGGGCAACTGCAGCCTTCCACTTCCTGATCCAGAGGCCGGATTCTCTCAGTCACCGGAATTGCTTGGGCTCCATCTCTCACGCTATGTTGCCAACTGAAGGTATATCATGGTAGAGTCCTTGCCCGCAACTTCTTCCTGTGCTTCGGTGGCTGTTCTTTTGCAGCACCGAGTAAGCGCCCCCCCTGCCCTCAGCCCATCTAGATGGCATAAGAGTTGCCGTTGGGCCTTTTGCTTTGACTTGCGCTTTGGCTGAGTATCCACGGGCAGCCTCTAGCTGGGAGGAATCATGAAGCAGCTTGACATGGGAATGCACATACCCACAGGAAGGAAAAGAAGCCATGCTTTTTCCATGGAAGCTGGATGAGTCTGTGCTACGAACGTGGAAAGAATGAAATAAAAACAGGTGGCTTAATTACAAGTGTTGATGTGAGTCATTGGAGGGGGTATCGGTTCTGTCGACTGCTTAATTCTATCTGGGCAAATGTGAAGAAGGATGGAAAGCTGTCTTCTCTTACTCAGACAGAGGAATGGGGTGGAGATGAAGAACCTTAGTGTGGCTGGAGCTTTTTCTCACAAGGTCACCCAGCCTGGCCTCTTCATCCTCTTTTAATTTTCAAATCCTTCCCCTGAGGTTGTGCACGCCTTAAACAAAGGTACCCTTCTCAGATTTAATTTGTCCTAATCTCTCCTAACTCGGCATGTGCTGCATACTTGGGTGAGAGGGGCGTGACCTGGAATGCCAAAAGGGTTCGGCTTCCATTTCTAGAGCGTCGCCTCTACCTTCATTAGCTTTGTGGTAGAGGAGGCTGGATATTTTAATATGGCCCAGAAATATCCTCCTTTCAAGGAAGCTGCCCATATTCCCCTGGTTCCACAAATGGGTTGCCTTTAGTCTGTTCAGTTCTATCTCTGGCTTGAGTGGGCTTCAGCTAGCAAGTCTTCTGCTTCCCTTTTCCTGACTTAGTGTACATTCCATCTGCTTGTGTAGCTGCAAGAATCGGGGAGCTTTTGAGTAAATAATAATGCTGATTATTTATTAAATTTGTTTTCTGCCCATCTCACCACGATCGTAATAGTTCTTGTTGCATTTCACACAACAGTACTGAGACTCCCAAGCCTAGGGCAGAGTTCGACCGTGAAATTTTAAATAATTTATTTTCCTTTGTTCCTTATGACATCTCTGTACCTTTTGGCTTAACCAGGCGTTTTGTTACATCATGGGTCTTTCTAATTATCAAATCAAGACACCTTTATATGGAAACACTTTCCATGTGTGCTTCATTTGGAGATCAGGAAACCACACATCTTGAGTGTTTTTGTGCATCAGCTTTTGTATCTGAATGCAAATGCTTTCTGCCCAGACTGTACATGTAGTCCTCAACTTATGACCACAACTGAGCCCAAAATGTATATTGTTAATTGAGTTTTGCCTCATTTTACAACCTATGTTGCCGCGGTTGTTAAGTGAATCACTGCAGTTCTTAAGTTAGTAATTTGGTTGTTAAATGAATCTGGCTTCCCCTTTGATTTTGCTTGTCAGAAGATCCCAAAAGATGCTCATGTGACCCTGGGACCCTGCGATCATCGTAAATTAGAGTCAGTTTGTTAAGTGTCCAAGTTTTGATCAGATGACTGTGGGGATGCTGCAGCAGACGTAAGTGTGAAAAATGGCCATAAGTCGTTTTTTTTCACTGCCGTTGTAACTTTGAATGGTCACGAAATGAACAGTTGTAAGTCAAGGACTCCCCATATTGCTCATTCTAAAAGAAGCAGTGGGAACTGGATTCTCAGCCTTCTACCCCAAAGATGAGTTAGAAATCCTTTTCAATCATAGATTCACATTTGATTCCAACCGCTGGGCTTAAGCTCCCAATATGCTTTCCCTTAAATGTGTTTGTTTGTGTCCTGCCTGATTATTTTTATAAATAACTCAAGGTGGTGAACATACTTAACACACACCTTCCTCCACTTATTATCCTCCTAACAAGCCTGTGAGGGCTGAGAGAGAGTTGGGCTGAGAGAGAGTGACTAAACAAAGGTTATCCAGCCAGCTTTCATGGCTAATGCGAAATTAGAACTCACCAGCTCCTGCTTTCTGGCCTGGGGCCATAATCACTAGACCAGGGGTAGGCAACCTTGGCTCTTTTATGACTCGTGGACTTCAACTCCCAGAATTCCTGAGCCAGCATGGTTCAGCATGGAAATCTCTCCCTTTCCCCTCAGCATGGCTGGCTCAGGAATTCTGGGAGTTGAAGTCCACGAGTCATAAAAGAGCCAAGGTTGCCTACCCTTGGACTAGACCAAACTAATCGTAAATTAATTGTAAATGAGCCCTGAGGTGAGAAAATTAATTGGGATTTCCCCAAGGCTATTAATTCTCATTTTCTTCTATATTCCTTAATTCATTCAGTGGTAGGTGGAAAAGACTTGGAACATATGGAGGAATGTAAACTCTGGGGACTCCCACCGCCTCCCTTCTTTGTAGCTGAAAAGCAGCAAGGGATGGATTTACTTTGTTTCTGTTTAGTTCCAAGCAAGAAATTGAGATGATTTTTTTTAAAAGCACTTATGTCCACATATCAGCTGGAAATACTCCCAGGGAAGCTTCTATATCAATAAAAAGAGAGTCCCTAATGCTATATTTACAGTCTTTAAAAAAAGCAAACATGACAGTAAACAAAAAAAGAATGTCCAGGACAGGAAAAAACATACTTGGAAACCAGTTCTTTATCGCTTCTTCAGCTATATCTCAGTAAAAGGTTGCTGAATGATTGTTGAGGGAGAGGCAAACCCAGCTGGAATTGACTTCTGAGTTATCTACCTTTCTTTCCCTTTCTCTGCTGGTTAAATTGGATAAGCTGAAATACTTGGGCATTTCAGTCATAGATTTATTTATATCCTGTCATTATTTTTATAATGGTGACAAACACACACAATATGCCCCTTCCTCCTATTTTCCCCTCAACAATACCTCTGTGTGATGAGGTAGGCTGAGAGACAGGTCCAAAGTCACCCAGCTTGTTTTCATGGCTAAGGCGGGACTTAAACTCTCAACTTCTAGGCCGCACTTCTAGGCCACAAGCAAATCTCAGTATCCTTTCTTGGATTTAAAGATTTTTTTTTTCTTGCACCCTATAGAGCTGCAAAAATAGCCACCCTACTCTTCATTTTGTTAGGATATTTTACCAGTAAGGGACTTTCACACATGTAGAGTTCATGGCTGCTTTCTTTACTTGCATAAAGCTCAGCAGCTTAGACCTCTTTAATTTAGAATCTAAGTTGAACTAAGCAACAAAGGCCTTTTTCACTTCTAAGCGCTCTCTCTCTCTCTCTCTCTCTCTCTCTCTCTCTTCTGTTCTCTTCTGCAAAAGCATAAAATCCTTTGTAGGTTTTGTAAGAGGCCTGGCTTTCATTTCTCTTTACCTCTCCTCCTTGACATTATCAGGAATGAGTGAGACTCTGTAAATGTACTACAGGTATTCCTCGACTTAATGACCAAAATTCAGCTCAAAATTTCCATTGCTAAGCAAGATAGTTGTTAAGTGAGTTTTGCCCCTTTTTATGACCTGTTACCACACTTGTTAAAGAATCACTGCTGTTTGTTAAGTTAGTAACAAGGTTATTAAATGAATCTGGCTTCTCCATTGACTTTGCTTGTCAGAAGGTCGCAAAAGGGGATCGCATGACCCTGGGACACTGCAAGCATTGTAAATATGAGTCAGTTGCCAAGTGTCCAAATTTTGGTCACGTGACCATGGGGATGCTGCAACAGTCATAAATGTGAAAAATAAGTCATAAAGTCACTTTTTTCAGTGCCATTGTAACTTTGAACAGTGACAAAACAAATGGTTGCAAGTCAACAACTATCTATATACGGGTTACAATACTGATCCTGAAGTGATGCTATGCAACTCAACAGGAGTAAATTACTGATATATCAATACTGGAGTATTCAAGAGAATACAGCAATCTTCTCCCTTCTTGTGATGGTTTCTTGCAGCCAGCAGAGGGGAATTGGTGTATCCTGTGTCTTGGTTCCGACAGATGAAACTCTTCAAAGAACTTCGAGGTATTATTTACCTTAAAGAATCTTTATTCGAGAAGCATAGCATCGGCACTAACATAATCAAAGCCAAAAACTGAATTCCCCCCCTCCTTGAGCACATAGTATCAAAGCATAATTCCCTCTTCCAATTAACAGTCATAAATCACATTCCCCAATTAGTTTAAAGCACGGGCTTTCCCTCCAGCTCTCCAGCTCACCAATTCTTATCATCTCTTATTTCAATAACCTTGATTCTCACACTAGGTCCAGTATTATTATGTCTAGCTGAACTCTCATGCACCTCCCCCTCTCCCCAGCATCATCTAACTCTAAAAGCGAAAAGAAGAAAATGGCTGCATCTCCATCTATTGTCAAAGCCAAAATATCCGATGTTAGCAGCGTTGACATCCTGTTCCCTTCTTAAGAATAAAATTTCAATTTTTGTTTCCCAAGTCCTTAAAAGGGTAGGGCAGATGCGAAAGAGAAATTAAATAAAGAACATATGTACATCACCTTGCATAACCCCGAATTAACTTCCATCTATTTAGAGCCGTATTTCTGATGAGCTCTCAATAAGAGGAAAGGAGTGGTTTGCTTATAATGGCACTAAGACAAGGAATGAGTTCCCAAATCATTCTAAAATAGTTGAAGGGTTTTCAACACAGGGTTCCTGCTGAAATATGCCTGAGAATTCTCTCTCTCTCTCTCTCTCTCTCTCTCTCTCTCTCTCTCTCTCTCTCTCTCTCTCTCTGTGTGTGTGTGTGTATTTCACTCTGAAAGTGATGTTTTTCCATCTTACCTCACCTCCAGATACTACATCCAAGCAAAGTAGAGAACATTGATGCACATGGGGAGGTAGCCTGAAATGACATGTTCTGTTGGCAAAATTGTGACTCTAGTTGGTATAGCCAGGTTCCCGTGGAATCACCCCTTCCCATATGATTTATGCCCTTCTACGCCCTTTGCCCCTGAGGAACACCAGCATTCCAACTTTTACAGTCACTTGAAAAAAAAAAAGATAGGCTGGTTAACACACTGTGTGAAATTGATTAGCCTATCTCTGGCTTACTTGGAAGTGTAATTCAAAAGAATTATCTCTTATACAATGTAGCCTGCCCAGAAGATAATTCCCTTCCTAGTAGTTACTGCTCTCAAGAGCATTAGCTCCTCAATTTCTCTTCCCGCAAAAATGTTCTTAGGGTAGTTTATAGTGCCCATTCTGATCTCCTTAGTTTATCCCCCTTCTCCAAGCCCAGTTCTTCAACACCATTATTCCAGTGGCTGCACAAATACAGAGGCCCCCTCGATGGCAGTCAAGATACAAATAAAAACCTAATTCATTTCTGCCCCTAGGTGATCAAAAGGTCTGTTGGTCAATCTCAGATGCTACCAGACTCTTGAACCCTTAGAATAGTGCAAGTTAAAAGCTGTAGATAATAGTGTAACATGGACCCATTCGAGGTGTATCAAGGGCAAGCTGCAGAGGCAATAAGATTTAAGTCAGCATGACTTCCTGCCAGCTCTGGATAGGAAGAGAATATAATAAAGTGTGTGTGTGTGTGTGTGTGTGTGTGTGTGTGTGTGTGTGTGTTTGTGTGTGTGGTCTTAACCATGAAACTCTCTTGGGGACTCTGGGAAAGAGGCAGTCTCTCAGTTACATCTACCTCCTTTGTTATGAAATTCTGAAACAGAACACAACTAAGTTTGTGCTCCTGGGATTATAAATGAGTGAGTCAATGTTTGAATATTGACTATCTTTGACTGCCATTCTGGCCTGCTTCATTTTCCAAGAAAATGGAAAATTTTCCAGTCTACACATTCATTTCTTCAACCCATTTCTTCACACAGGCTCAGTCTTGACTTTTTCATTCTCCACCTTCGCTTTCTCAAGAGACTGAATTGGAGCCTGCGGCATTGGAGGGCGCAATGTTTCAGCAGCAACAGCAAGAGTTAACACTGGGCTGAATCGCCGCCCTTGGCATCCTCCACCAGAGACCTGATTAGGAAGGGCTCTGCTTCTGCCCCTGGTGGACTTTGACAAGGAGCAGAACTTATACTTGCTGTGTGCAGCAGAAGCTAAGCAAGCTAAAGGCTCTTAAAGGGGTAGGGATTTGCTATTACTTTGACTGTGCAGTTTGCTCAAGTTATCTCTATAAGCTTATCTTCAGAGAGGTAAGGAGGAACAACAGGGGCGGGAGGTGAGTTGACGTTGCTCTGCGTCCAATGAGTCAATTTTCTAATTGACTCATTATATTTTTCATTTTGCAAGATTGTAAGCCAAGGAGGAATAGGATGTTACAAGCCAGGAAATTCAGCTGGTTATAGTCAAGGCTGAAAACTGGGTAAAACTGAAGGGGAAAAAAAAAACCAATCTGAAAAAAAAAATTCTTCTTACTTTGCTCTGTAGGCAGGAACTATGTGAGGAATCAAATGCTGATCTGGCGCAAGATGAAAACAGAAATGGGAAATTGGAATCCCAGATTCAAACTTCAGAAGGAAAGGGGGCAATTAGTGATTGTTTAAGAGGGGGGGGAAAAGCATTTCTTCTTTAAAATACGGTGTAGTGTTTGTTTCTGCCAGTGTATGTCTTTAACTGGACCTTATCTCTTTTGCCTTCTACTTGATTTACAGAATTTTGTCTCCTTTGGTTTGCTTGAGGAGAAGAGCTGTTAGCATTCCAGCTTATAGCCTGATTAAAAGAAAACAGTGGATTATAGGAAAAATAGCAACATTCTCGAGCATTTTAAAGAGTAATCATTTTGTTATGTTCTCCATTAATGGGTGGAGCTCATTCTGCCAATCAGTTTTTCCTTTCTTTACCTGTATTATGTTTGTGTTTTGGGTCCCGATCCTAAAATACAAAGAGATCTGTTTATTGAATGCATTAATATATGAAGGTAGATTGACACTGTAACATCCCTGGAATAGGCCAGGAATGGAGTGGAGACAATATACATACCTATTTCACCTAACCCAAGGGTAGGCAACCTTGGCTCTTTTATGACTCGTGGACTTCAACTCCCAGAATTCCTGAGCCAGCATGGCTCAGCTTGGAAACCTCTCCCTTTCCCCTCAGCATGGCTGGCTCAGGAATTCTGGGAGTTGAGGTCCACAAGTCATAAAAGAGCCAAGGCTGCCTACCCCTGACCTAACCTTTACATTTTCTAGAATGTATTTATTAAATTTTTACACCACTCATCTCGCCTGACTAACTCTGGGCAGTTTACAAAAAAAAAAAAAGCACAGTGATTGAGTGAAACATGGAGATATCGAAGAGAGAGATACCAATCATGAATGGGCATCTATTCCTGCCAATAAAGAACTAGCAAATCAAAATACTTTCTATTTCATTGGAGGAAGGGAAGGAAAAAATTGTCTTAATGATGTGCTAAAGAGTGCAAAAAGAGCATATAATTAATTGTAGTAGCAGAGAAGAAATGTGCCTGATTGAAGAACAGGAGACACTGCTTTTTTGTGAAGTAGTAAATGCGGACAGATTTAGAATGTACTTTTTTTTTCAGCCAAGCAAAAAGCCATTTTTGCATCTTGCATCCATCTTTTGGGTATTTCTACTTTGCTCATCTTTGCTCTCATGCTCTAATGGAAAATTATTACTTTATTCCTGTGCCAAGTGAAGCCAAGACTAGCCCAATCTGGCAAAATAAGGAAATTGTCAATAGAATTGGTGCATTAAATGTTTCTTTATGTTATTTTTGTTCCATTTAAACTGTCAGGGATAGGGAAGAAAGTCAGAGGCCACAATAATTTGACTGGATTTGGATGCACAATTTCTTGACATCTATAGCCTTGTATGCGTGTGTTGGTGTCAATGTCACCCTCTAACTAGCAGCTAGATTTTTGAACCGCATTGTAATGAATTGCACCTGGCAGGATTAAACCCAGATCAGGTTGACTGTTCACCCAGCATGCAAAATGCTATACTTATATTAATAAAATATAATCTGTACAACATGCTATATAGCACAAACAAGTACCCCGATGTGATGTCCTGCTTCACAAAACCTGTTAAGAAGGTGGCTGGGTTCCCACAACATGTTTCCCAACTCTATATTCTAGCATTTTATATAAATACAGTTACTGACAAGTGCATGCAAAAAAAGTTCATGGTAATGTGCATTCAAGTAAAGTCATTAGCTTAAGATCATAAGATATGTGACACATATTCTTGCAGAATTATCCTTATCCTAATGTGAATGGGAGACCCTAAAGTTGTGATCCATTCCAGGGTAAGAAAAACCACCCAAAGTGTATGCTATTTGCAACTTGTGTAGATGTCAATTTAATCCATTAATCTCCTCCTGAGCTTTACCAGAATGCAGCATAGAGCTGGACACATTAAGCGGGACCAAAGCCAGTTACAAAACTGCCCTATTAAACCTTTTTAAAAAGTTTAACCTGGAATTCTGGAGGAGAGAGTCTTGTCCTCTAGTATTCCCTTTGAGAGAAAATTGGATATCATATTCTTAGGAACTGAATTAGACTTAATGAGTTGTGTGTAATAATTCTTCTAAGTCAGTGTTTCTCAACCTTGACAATTTTAAGGCATGTGGACTTCAACTCCCAGAATTCCACAGCCAGCATTGCTGGCTGTGGAATTCTGGGAATTGAAATCCATATGCCTTAAAATTGTCAAGGTTGAGAAACACTGTTCTAAGTCTAAGTGTCACAAATTAGATGACACTGATGGTAGAATGGTGCAGTTTGGGCCTTAAAAATGGAGTCCCAAATTTAAACCAGGCAGAAACACATTTGATCTTTACTATTCAGGAGAACATCTCCCTGGAGTTATTAAGCAATTTCCCCCCTATTTGAAATAAATACAAAAGTCCACGCTTACTTGGGTACCAAATCAACAGATTGAACCCTCACTCCACATCATGGTACAGTGCTAATTTGGATCAGATTCATGCATTTCTTTTATTTATTTGCAACACAAAGGCTGTTGAGTGAGAACAAATTCATTTCTAGTTTCCCTCTTTGGAAGGCTCTCCAAAATACAAATTGTGTTGATGATTCATTAACTGCTTTGGAGTAGCTCTGTTTCTCATTATTTCAATTAGCATAGATGTTTATTAAAGAGAATGAATACAGTTGCTTAAATACCAGCAGCTTGATCAATGTCCCTCAAGGGCATTATTCTGGCACTAGAAGCCTAGTGATGGATGCTGGCTCAGACAATCTCACAATCTCCATCTCTTTAGGACTGCAAATCCTTTAATGAGTGGCCACTTGTCCCAAAGACTTTCCAAAAGACAATTGGACTTTTCTGGGTTTTTTTCTTTGAAAATGTTTTGCTTCTCATCCAGGAAGCTTCTTCTGCAGTGAAGAAGCTTCCTGTATGAGAAGTGAAAGGTTTTCAAAGAAAGATACCCAAGAAAGTCCAGTTGCCTTTTGGAAAACCACCTTTCAAACAACCATGATCTGGATGACTGAGAATCTCCATAGACACTGAGTGGCCACTTGGTTGTATTGACTATGGCTGATGGAAGTCATGATCCTAAATAAATAGAAAACCTCAGATTGCTTCTCCCTGACAAAATAATGTGACATGTGTGGATTGAATTAAATAAGGGCCATTTGAACTTTTGGAAGAGGACAAGGTGGTGATACTGGGGTCCCATTCTATTTTTGCTAATCCTTTCCCATCTCTGCAGGCCTTAAACCAGCAATGTGGTGCTGCATTCTGCTCTTCAGTGTGGTTTGGGCTGTGGTCTGGTTCTTCCGTGACCAGCAGACTTTGAGCAACTTCAGAGACAAGTATGTTTTCATCACGGGTTGCGACACGGGTTTTGGGAACTTGCTAGCCAAAAAACTTGACAAAAAGGGTTTCCGAGTGCTGGCAGGCTGCTTGACTCAGAAGGGAGCTGATAACTTGGACCGCACCAGCTCGTCAAACTTGCGCACCACACTGATTGATGTTACCAGCTCCGAAAGCATCTGCAAAGCAGTGGAATGGGTGAAAGCTGAAGTGGGTCGAAAAGGTGAGTTTCACCCCAGCAGGTATCAAAGGAAAGACAGGAGAGTATGTGGAACCAGGAATAGAATTACAGCTGTTTGAACTCCTTCAGCTTTCCTACATAAATACTCAATACACTATTCCTATAAGCCAATGTTTCTCAGCCTTGGCAACTTAAAAGACATGTGGACTTCAATTCTGAGAATTCATCAGTTTCTTCATTTCTGTTGTGGTCACAGGGCCTGCTTTCATAAAGCTGTTCTTAGTTCACCATACCTTCGCTGGAAATCCCAACAAAATCAGATTTTTCCAGCAGATCCATCAAAGTAGTCTCAACCTCATAGCCTGCCCTGAATCTAATTGGATCAGGTTTGTCTCATCCTGAAAAGTCACCATTCTCTTAGCTTACCCAACTATGGGAAGCTAGCGTCTTTTTGTAATTTCCCATTTCTGAGAAATTCAGGGCAAACTTCTTAAAGATGGCCTAGTAATTGCCTCTTTTAAACAAAGGAGGCATCCTGCTTTCCCTCAGAGAGGCATTCATGATGTTAACCAGGTGTCACTAGTAAGCTCCAGGCTACGTTACAAGCAGAGGTGGGATTCAAATATGTGAACAACCGGTTCTCTCTGTGGATGCCACTTCCAGAAGTCCATTCTGGGCCTGGGCAACAAAAAAAATTAGCTACTAGTTCTGCCGAACTGGTACGAACTGGCTGAATCCCAACATTGGTTACAAGCTAAGTTGGACAAGGATCCAGAACACAAGCAGTGGAATGTACCATTTCAAGGAGTCAATCCATGTCCTCCTGTATCATAAAACCAATCTATTATATACAAAAAAGCGACAAGACACCCCACTGTTGACTGTATACCAAAGACGACATCCAGATGAAAGCTCAAAGATGCCTTCATCTGAAAAAAAAAAAATCCCTTATAGAAAATGGTATACTGTAATAAGTCCTCCAGAGGTCTGAGAGGAGGAAGAAGTAGAAGAGTACTAGGTACCTCCCTCACAAACAAAACTCAACAGGCCATGAGGTTGCCTATGCAATATGTTCAGGGAGAACACTGCTGTTTTGCTGCCCATTTATCTGATTTGTCAGATCTTCCTTCACCTGCACTCTTAGGCTGCCTTGGTGCTTTATACCTGCAGTATAAAAGTAAAGGTTTCCCCTGTCCATTTGTATCCAACTCTACAGGGCGGTGCTCATCTGCTTCTTAGCTGAGCAAGTCAACGTTGTTCAAAGACATGACCATTCTGTGGTCATGTGGTCAGCATGACTATGCTGAGGGGTACAGGCCGCTGTTACCTTCCAAATGAAGTGGTACCTATTTATCTATTCACATTTGCATGCTTTCGAACTGCTAGATGGGCAAGAGCTGGGGCAAGGATGGGAGTTCACCCCAACGTGAAACCCAAGCTGTCAGCTTTCCATCTGAAAAGCTCAGCATCTTGAATCGCTGAGGTAGTATAGAGCTACCTTTAAAAGGGATGAAACAAAATTCTTGAGAGCAACAATATTGATAGATCTAGCAAGCTCTATGTTCCATATACTAACCTTAATCATGGATAATGGATAACTAGTGCAATTAGTCTGAAATCTTTTCATGCTGCCTCGGAATCTTGGACTATTAGTCCATTGCCACTAATTCAACCTTGATCATACGGTGATCCATCCAAGACAATGAAAAAAAATGAGATGCCCCCAACACCTGCTGACCATCTTGGATATTCAGAACAAAATTCCAACACAAACACATGACCTATATTACGTGTTCCCAGCTGGGATAGACCTATAGCTGTTATGAGTCCTATGAACTCCTGAACTCTTCCAGACAGACCAGCAACCAGAGTAGATTTTGAAACCCTTTAGCACCAACTCCAAGTCCAGCTTTCATTTCAGTCCATCATTCTGTTAGTCAACAGAGTGGGGAGTTACATTAACAGAATTCCCAGTCTATCTCTGATCCTACATCTAAGTTGCACACGCATTGTCCCACTTATATCCAATGATCCAATGTGGGATGTGGGATCAGAGATAGGTCCAGGTCTCTTACAGGTCTCTTGGTAAGGGAAAGATTATTTTTATGAATTGCATCCATCTACTTGCCCTGGCTTGCCGCAGAGTGCACAAACCGGAGAAACTGGGGCCACACGAGGCCATGATCGGTTGGCTTCCCTACAACTGAGGTTGGAGCATAAACAGAAAAACACTGCACCATACAGTATTTGAAGAGGAAGCCCTTTGCAGTTTGTTTGGTGAACAGGAGGGTGATTTTTCTCATATCCCTCTCTTTCTCTCTCTCATCTCCCAGGACTCTTCGGTCTGGTGAACAATGCAGGTTTAGGCAGCTCTATTGGCCCCACAGAATGGATGACCGTGGAAGACTATCGCAAAGTCATGTCTGTTAACACCTTTGGAATGATCGAGGTATCGTTGGTCTTCCTGCCATTGCTCAAGCAAGCACGTGGCCGAGTAGTCAATGTTTCCAGCGTCCTGGGGCGGGTTTCAGCCAATGGTGGTGGCTACTGCGTTTCCAAATACACAGTGGAGGCCTTTTCTGACAGCCTCAGGTAGGTGGGCTGGATATGCGCTCATTCTTCCAGGTCCAGAGTAGCCTTTTGGAGTCTCCCTGGTGCCTGCTCTTAGCGTAACAATTATAGTTATTAAAACGGATGTCTTCTGCAACCCATGCGATAACCAGACCGGGCTGTTTCCCCCATTTTCAAAGATTTCACGGTGCCCATTGTTTCTAGAGAGGGAAAGTTATCACTAAATAGGCATGTTGATCATGCATAATCTGTGGCAACAAATAACTACCCCATTATTGGGGTCTCAAGAAATGTTATGGATCTTTACAGATAGGTATAAAGAATATGATTCAATCCTTCACAATATTTTTTTTTTCCCCAGGAGGGACATGCATCATTTCGGGGTAAAAGTCTCCATTGTAGAGCCAGGCTTTTTCAAAACAGCCATGACTAATCTTGAAACAATAGAGGTTGCCCTACGGCACTACTGGGATCGAATGAGCCCTGAAGCCCAGCGGAGCTATGGTGAAAATTTCTTTCACAATTGTGAGTACTGAGGCCTACTAGAATATGGTTGGAAGCAGGGGGGAAACTACTCCCGTTTGAAGCCATGTTCTGTAAAACCTCTTCCAAAGAAACGCATCGTGGCGATAGCCATATTGCAGGGTTTAACAAGATATTTCCTTCCCATACCCATACTTAAAACACTAAAACCTGCCAAAAAGTGACTGAAAACATTCTGGAGAAAAAAAAGAAAAGAGCTTTTGGGTAGGCCTTGCTCCCATTGTCATCCTTATTTTTGTGTTTTTTTAAAAAAAAGCTATCAAAATTTGGTATTTAGCCCCTAAATTTCAATAGCATAGCAACAGCAATGGACCTCTCCATAGTGCTTTACAGCCTTCTCTAAGCGGTTTACAGTGTCAGCCTATTGCCCCCAACAATCTGGGTCCTCATTTTACCGATCTCGGAAGGATGGAAAGCGGAGTCAACTTTGAGTTGTGAGAATCGAACTCCTGGCAGTCAGCAGAATTAACCTGCGATACTGCATTCTAACCACTGCGCCAGCATGTAGATACTAGACCACTGCATCTGCATGTGCAACTTCCTACCTGTCCTAACACCACCAAAATAATTGTGCTGGTTAGTCTTGCATCCCAGCCAAGATTTGAGTAAAATCTTGCAGTTTGTTGGTTAAATACAGAATGGAAAACACTTTTCCCAACATGGTGCCCATCAGAAGAATTAAACCCCCATCATTTTATACTGTCAGGAGTTTAAACACCTGTCTTTAGCTAGTTGTCTGAGGACCATCTGATTGAAGACTGTTAATTTAGGACTAGGACAGGGGTAGGCAACCTTGGCTCTTTTATGACTTGTGGACTTCAACTCCCAGAATTCCTGAGCCAGCAATGCTGGCTCAGGAATTCTGGGAGTTGAAGTCCACGAGTCATAAAAGAGCCAAGGTTGCCTACCCCTGGACTAGGAGAAGTCAAGTGTTAGCTTTACGGGACCAGCTAACGAAGAGTCAGTATCTTACATTAAGGCAAAAGACATCCTGAAACAGTAACAGTAACCTCTTATTAGGCCGAAAGTTTAATTTCTATGATTTCCATCTCTCTATAGACTTGAAAGTCCAGAAGTTCATCATGAACATCATCTGTGATTCTGATCTCAGCAAAGTGACAAACTGCATGGAGCACGCCCTTCAAGCCAAGCACCCTCGCTCTCGTTACAGTGCAGGATGGGATGCTAAGTTTCTGTGGCTGCCAATCTCTTATCTACCTTCCTTTTTGGTGGATATTTCCCTGTCTATCATCTTACCAAAGCCAGCTCAGCGGGTGCGCTAAAAGCTGCCTCATGATCAAGCTTGAGGCCTAAATATTGACAAATCATACTCCTGAAAATAATAAATAAAAAGATTATTCAAAGAAAGTTGTTGTCTCACCAGATCTGGTTTCACAGGGTGGTATGGAAACATTTCCAAATTGTGAGCTTACACCCTCTTACTATCCAGATGCTGAGAAATCATGAAGAACAGGGGAACTTGATGCAAGAAGGGAAATGTTCGGTAGATTAACTGAATAATCGGTGCCAACATAAAAACATCTGACAAAAAGTGGGCACCATTTTTTTTCAAGCAAAAGCTTTTTTTTAGTGAGTCTCTGAAGTACACACATGACAATGCAGGAAAGGGCAATATTTAAATCTTAATTGCAGCCTTGGAGGAAAGGATTTAAGTAAAATCAGTTGTTCTGAATATCAGAACAGTTGATTTTACTTGTCTTAACTTCCATCACCAAATCACACCACTGTTGCAGAATTTCAGAGAGAGAACTTGAAGAGACTTTGGCAAAAGACCGGGGACTGCTAACTGTTGTGGTAGGTTGTAGATTGTCCATCAGTCCAACTTTCATGCATCCATCCACTCTGTGGGGAATTTTAAATGTTATGAGTAGGAAGTTCTACTGGTCTTTTTGTTGTAGAACCCGCTAATATCTAAGAGACAGCAAAGATTCTCCAGTCCATAATCTGAAAACCTTTGCTACCTCACCGTATACGTGCCCAAGTCTTCTATTTAGAGGTGGAATAGATACCAAAGGTTCACCTGTAGGTTAGGTGAATGTATGGAGAAATAGAGACCTAAATACATGTTTACGACAAGTTATTTATTTTTATTTATGTATTTTTAAAATTTATAAACCGCCCCACTCCCGCAGGACTCTGGGCGGCTAACAATAAAAACAACATAAAACATGACAAAACAAACAGTACAATAACAGTCATCCAGGGGTCAGATTTTATAAACCCCAGGCCTGCCGGAAAAGCCAGGTCTTAAGCAGCTTACAGAAAACCAGCAGGGTGGGAGCGGTCCTAATCTCCAGGGGGGAGCTGGTTCTAAGACGTGGGCGCCATCACAGAGAAAGCCCTCCTCCGCGGCCCCACCAAATGGCACTGCTTGGCCGACAGGACCTGAAGGAGGCCCAGCCTGTGGGATCTAACCGGACAAAGGGAACTATGAGGTAGTAGGCAGTCTCGCAAATAGCCTGGCCCTGAGCCATATAGGGCTTTAAAGGTAATGATCAACACCTTGAATTGGACCCGGAGACCAATAGGCAACCAGTGCAGCTCACGGAGGATAGGTGTAACGTGGGTGTATCGAGGAGCACCCACTATCACTCGCGCGGCTGCATTCTGGACCAACTGTAGTCTCCGAATACTTTTCAAGGGTAGCCCCATGTAGAGCGCGTTGCAGTAGTCCAAACGTGAGGTGACAAGGGCATGAGTGACTGTAAAGAGAGCCTCCCGGTCCAGGTAGGGTCGCAACTGGTGCAACAGACGAACTTGTGCAAAGGTCTTCCCAGCCACAGCTGTCTAATGATGTTCCAAATTCAGCTGTGGATCAAGGAGGACACCCAAGTTGCGAACCCGCTCCGAAGGGGGTATATTTCCCCCCGCTAGAGTCAACACTGGACCGTCGACATGATCCTTGGGAGGCAACATCGAAAGCCACTCGGTCTTGCCAGGATTGAGCCTGAGTCTGTTAACCCCCATCCAGACCCTCACGGCTTCAAGGCAACGGCCCATCACATCAGCCGCTTCACTGAGAGAGCTCGGGGAGGAGATATATAGCTGGGTATCATCAGCATACTGATGATGATACCCAGTTATCATGCTTTCCCAGTTTTAATCCTGATGGATAATAGATGATGGAAATTCAAGGATTCAGCATGGGGGCTTAGGTTATATTCAACCAATTGGATCTCTCGATTTTTCACTGAGCTCAAAGGATGACCTAACATCCTTTCTTTGACTTTGCTTCAGGCAAAAGTAGTTCTTAAAGTTAGAATTCTATTTTTAGCTAGGCAGCTCTGTTAAGGAGTGTGTATATTAACTTGATTTTCCAAAAACGTCAGCAAACCTAGCACAATGTAATGATACTTAGCAGCAACCCTTAAGAATGGGCAACCAGGTACACAAAAATACTGAAAGCAAGATTGCCTCCGATGATTGTAGATAGAGGTAAGAGGAAGAAGATAGAACGTGCAGTTCTCCACAACGGCAATCAAGAGGGCGATTTTGGCACCATGGGACATTTCTTGTATAAACATAATCTATTACTTAATATTGAAGTTTAATATGACATTAGCTTAATTGAGAAAGGATAGCTTTTAGAACCAACTGAGGCTGATAAGAGTCTTCTTCCATGGTGCTAGTCTAGGAGCAGGGCTGCAACTGTCATGGCTTGTAAAAGCCCAGACAGGAAGTGCTTTAATAATGACCAAGGACTAAAGTCCTGTGGAAAACCAAAGAAAGGGAGGAGAAGAACAAAGGAATATAATTCACATTTCCCAATACAGGCACTCCTCAACTTACAACCACAATTGGGACCAGAATTTCCATTGCTAAGCAAGATGGTTGTGAATGTATTACCTTTTTTGCCACAGTTGTGAAGCAAATCTGGCTTCCTCCTTAACTGCTTGTCAGAGGTTGGCAGGAGAAGGTTGCAAATGGCGACCCCATGTCCCTATCATTGATACATGCCGGTCGCCAAGCACCCAGATTTCAATCATGTGACCGTAGGGATGCTATGATGGTTGTAAGTATAAGGACTAGTTGTAAGTCACTTTTTAGTGCCACTATTAACTTCTAGTAACAGACACTAAACAAATGGCTGTTAAGTCCAGGACTACCTGGTGAAGGGTAAAAATGCATATATCCACATCGAGAACCCTCTTGATCCAAACACAATGCACAACTCAATGTTAAATAAGGTCTCCTACATTTCTGGAGTTGTTTATAACTCAATATATTATTCCAATATTACATAAAGAAGCCATGTCCTACCAACCATCCTCTATTTTTTAAGAGACAAGAGGGTGAGGAAAAGCTAAAAAATGGTCAATGGAGAAAAGGCACTATACAAATAAGCCACAACACATGGGTGAAACAGTATCTTTTATTTTCCAAATAGCAAATTACTGGCTAAAAATATTAGCCCTGATAATTTTCCTTCTTATTATATAGAATGAAGAGTCTACCTTTCCAAAGGAAAAGAGAAATAGCTGAACACATAAGACAGTCTACTTGAAAGGACTCAAAAGGTAGAATAAGGTCTTTAAATATACTTGTTCACATCTATTAAGGGCTCTAGGAACGTATCACCAGATGCCCAGTAGGTGGCGCACAAGTCTCACGCGAAGGATAATGCAAGGTCTAGGAGTTGCAGTGAGGTGCAAGGAATGGATTTAAATCTGCCCCTTATGGGAAAGAAAGAAAAGAGATAAGGCAACATGTGAATCCTTTGAGGGCAGCATATATTTTCCTAACAGGCAACAGAAGAAGAGGCATGCACCCAACCCTGTCCCATTGGCACATGACGGTCAACTGTATCCCCAGAGAAGTGGAGATGAAAGTATTCCAGAGCGTTGTGATTGGGCCTCATAACAGCCAAGTGTACAGGAACAGAAACTATTACATGACCTCATAGCCACTGCGGATTCCTTTCATGAGACAACAGGCAAAAATGATGCCCAGGAGCTGGGAAAAAAAAAAAAAACGAGAGAAAAATTATTTAGTCCTGATGTTTTCTTCAGAAATAGCAAGACTGTAGGAGCCGTGGGGGTGCAGTGGTTAGAATGCAAGACTGAAGGCAAACTCTGCCCACAGCCATATATCTATATAATCGTGTTTGTGGAAGGAAGTCTGCTTTTGTGAAATTCACTTTCTTGAGAACACAAACCAGAACAAGGCTACTAGCTTTTACCAGCAAAACAAAGATGCAGGTAGGCATGTTCAGATGAGAACCCGTCCCCACAAACAACAGCTTTTGTACCTCAAAGAAGGCAATGCCCAACGCAACTGCAGCCACAATCACAATGTGTTTCTTCAGCCACTCTTCTATTTTTGTCACACAACCCTGCAGGGAAAGAAAACAATTATTTGGAGGATTCTCTCAAAAGACTCAAGCTGGAGCAGAAAGTCAGTGTAGCTTCAGAGGCTTAAGTTCGGGTCTAGGGGAACTAGGATTAAAGGATGCCTAACCTTTAAGACTTGTGGACTTCAATTACCAGAATTCCTCAGCCAGCATTGTCAGCCAGAATGCTGGCTGGGGAATTCTGGGAGGGGAAGCCCACAAGTCTTAAAAGGGCCAAGGTTGGACACTCCTGGACTAGGCATAGTCTCTAAACCTAGCCTACTTCACAGAGTTGCAGCAGGGAGGTTACTAGGGCAGATTTCCACTTGCTCTGCCTTTCATCAAGAGCTCAAAGCAGAATGAATAAATAAATACGCCACCCCAACGCTCTGGTCATACAAACCACATCGAAAGTATTCTCCGGAGTGGGATTTTGGGTACAGGCCATGGCTTTCCTGCAGCAGGAGGCGGGTACATGTCCAGGCTTGAATTGTGTGACATTAAACCAGTCAGTATAATTGGTGACTCCGCAGCAGGAATACTACAGTTGGGGAATGAGAAAAGAGAAGAGGCGAATATTTTAATGAAAACGGAGTTTGAGTTTTCTAAGCCTTCCATATCTGACTTGCATCTGATTAAGAGGAAGCTTTTTAATAAACCCATTGTTGTGCCTCATCTAATGCTGGACAGGGATCCAGGAGCCCCAGTATATGTCCAGGCCAGCCGTCCATCAGCTTCATTCTCACACATATAGAACTGGAATGGTTAAGAGCTCAGCTTTTTCCTCTCCCTTTTTAACAGAAAATATTCACATCTATGGTATCTCTTCCTTGACGCGTATTCCAACTATTCTGCTCCCGCCACTTTGAGCCCGCATCTCTCCTGTGCCTTTCGTCCTCCTCTTCCAGAAGCCTCATCCACCTTTCTCCCAGTTGTCCAGTTTCAACTGAAAATGCAGGTTCTCCAACTGCTATTAACTGCAGGGTATCTATCAGCTGCAGGTGGATTTGCTCAATTAGGTGTAGGAAAAGCAATGCAACAAACATCACGCAGACTGTAACTGTGGACATTTGGACAAGCTGTTTTGGAAAGGAAAGGACTGTTGAAAGCAATACTGAAAATCAGGAAAGGAGACTCTGCAAAGAAATTAGGAACTCCTTTTTTTTAAAAAAAAAAATCCACTATTTATAATGCCATCACTGCTTTGCCAACCCTCGAGTCTAGAAGCAGACCTTTATGGTAGACTCACTTTCTTCTGCAAGTCATCCAAAGGTTTTTGAATGACTGATTTATTGTTGTAAGTATTCATTTCTTCCTGGATTTCATCGTTAATCACTGATCGGACCTGGGAAAGAAAACAAAGGAAGAGAGGTAGTAAGATTCAAAAAGTTTCCATAGGATCTCATATGAAGAATGAAACAACCTCAACGTGGGTTCTCTAAAGGTGGACATCATAATCTGGGCCTAACCTCTACGCCAGCCTTTGCCTGTGCTGGCTGTGGAACGCTTGGAATCATGGTCCAATACCTCCCCCCCCCCTAGAAAATTTCATTATTTAAGTGTAGAAGCACTGGTGAAATTCAGCCAGTTCGCACCACTTTGGCAGAACCGGCAGCTAATTTTTTGTTGCCCAAGCCCAGAATGGACTTCCGGAATCGGCATCCACGCAGAGAACCGGTTGGTCACATATTTGAATCCCACCACTGGGTAGAAGGTTACAGTAGCATCATTCCTGAAGGTCTCTCTTACCTTGTCCTTAAAGATGTATCCTGTAATGGCAGCTGCAATCTCCACCAGGAAGATTAGAGTCAACAGCACAGCAAACTAAAGAGGAAAAAAAAAATCTGTGAACACTCTGGAAGAAGAAATGGATCCCAGCTGTTGTTGTCTCCCTTTATTTGGGATTTTGTGATTAACAAGACAAAAATGAACTGCCAGTTTGGCTCGCATTAACTCACCTCCAGAAAAAGTTGTCTCTATTCAAGAAAAAAAACCGTATCCCCAAACTGGAAAATATTTTGTCAAACAAGTTTTCAATTCTCGTTCTCTATTAGGGCCATGAACTAGGCTTCTTCTACATCAGAATGTTTGGTTGGGAGTTTATAAGTTGCTTGTTTTTTATTTCTTTACTTATTCTATGTATATGACCACCTACTCACTCATATCTATAAGGCGCCAATTGAATAGGACTGCGTCACCAAATAAAGCCACTAGTGCAGGGGTAGGCAACCTTGGCTCTTATATGACTCGTGGACTTCAACTCCCAGAATTCTGGAGCCAGCCATGCTGAGGGGAAAGGGAGAGGTTTCCAAGCTGAGCCATGCTAGCTCAGGAATTCTGGGAGTTGAAGTCCACGAGTCATAAAAGAGCCAAGGTTACCTAGCTTCCATGTTCATCTAGGAAAAACAAATTTCTTAGCTTCCCAATGACCCTCTGCCCCATAACTTTATACTCCTCTCCAGTGTTTGCCAATGCACTTCAGCTTATGGCAACAATTTTAGCGAGGTTAGACCCAGCACACAGACAGGTTTTTAAAAACAAACATGTAGTCTCTACATCTCTTGTGGGTCCTTCTAATATTCATCACCAATCTATAGCTTGCCAAGAACTTAGATTTATTCAGAAACACCCACTCGCAGTCTATAAGACTTTGGTCAACGGGGACCTTTTGCCACTATGATTTTAAAACACATTAAAGGCAATTTCTGTTGGGAACCAAGAGGCATTTCTCCACAGAATAGCACATCATGCTCTATATCAGGGGTTCTCAATCTTGGCAACTTTAAGACTTGTGGACTTCAACTCCCAGAATTCTGGGAGTTGAAGTCCACAAGTCTTAAAGTTGCCAAGATTGAGAACCCCTGCTCTATATATTTCCATGAAGCAACCAGGAACCTAAATTATGTAAAAGATATACACAGCTGTTGATATGACTTCGCACAGAAGTTTTACCACAGAAAGATTTTTAAATGATTTTGAAATACAGTTTTTGACCCAAGATGTTCATTTCTAACAGAAAGGCCAAAATAAAATAAATCTCCTGAATGGATTTCACAAGTACTGTTAAGCCCTGAATATTTCTGTTCTTATTACGGTTTCTCCAACTCTCTTAAGTACAAAGATTAATGACTGACAAAGTACTGATAAAGCCCTTCAAAGTTTTAAATATCTAAAACTGTAGTTTTAATGTTTTAATTTTACTTCTTTTATAACTAGTAAGTCTGCCTGAGTCACCTTGTAGGGGAGATGGGCGGCATAAAAATTAAATAAATAAAAATATACTTTCTAAATTATTTTTAAAAGCCTCTGGATTAGATTGGAACATTCCTTTTTGAATCTTCTTCTCAACAGCAAAAGTACTACTATAATATGGTCTGTGACCATAATGCTGTAATCCTCAATATGGTACTGATGGAGGTCATTCTTGGTGCTCACCGTGCTACCTGATTCACTTCACTGTTGAACATGTTTTTAAAATGAAATGGGAAGCTGGCATGCTAAAAAGTAAAAATGCTAACGTCCACCATTTATTTATTTATTTTAAAAATCCAATTAAAGCTTCTGGACCTCACAAGCATCCTTAAAAAATAACATGCTCTTAACATCGTCCAGGTATGTCCACCAATTCAAACAACCAGGAACAGCAGTTGCCAGATGACATACGTTTCAGCCCCAGGGGCCTGTGAAGAACTGTCAGGTGGCACATTCCTAAGAAACACTTCCACAATGAGACATAGATAAATCTGCAATGTGACTGCGTTAACAGAGTCTGTTTGATTTCTCACGTTTCCCATTTCCCAAGCTCCCAAAAATAACGCTACAGTTCCGATTCTTTGTCTGAATGCACCATCCAAAGCTGGAATAAAGGTTACCAGCAATTCCATAGCCCCCCCCCCCCGTTTCTTCTCCATCACCCCCCTCACCGTGGTGACCATGCAGTAGTTTTCCTTCACTGCCCCACAACAACCAAAAAAGGAGATGAAGAATACTATGACGCCCACGGACAGGATGACAATGGGAGCAGCAGAAGCTGATGGTGGGCCGGTCATCACCAGGGTGTTTTTGAGCTCGATTTGTACGAAAATCCCCAGGGCAATCAGAGCAATTCCGCAGAGCTGTGGAGAAGAAAAACAAAGCATCAGCATTGGGATGACGAGAAGCAGGGAAACAGCGATGTGGTAGAAGGTGGTGCCTTCTCTTCCATGGATGTGTTCCAGAGGAGGCTAGATAGGGTATGTGTTGATGTTTTAACTACATTACTGCACCGAGCAGGAGGCTGGACTTAAATAGGCTTTCCCAACTCTTAAGAGTCTGTTGTAATCTTAGAAGGGCTGCATCTTGAAGGAAAAATAGGCCAAACACACCAGGTGTGGAAGACCTTTAATCCACCAGTTTGTCTCCTCCTAAAACCCTCTTGCTCCTGAATTTTAATGGCATGGTGGTCAGGAATTGAGTCACGAAATAAGAAAACTAAAATAACTACTATTTTACCTTTTATTGGTATCCATAAGGCGCTATGTCCTACCTGGTTTTATTCAGCTATTTCTAGATGTTTAAAATTTAAGCAAAACAATTGAATAGGAAGCTCTGGTGCCACAAAGCTTTAATTTCAAGAAAGCTTCGGGTTTCTCTTTCTCTCTCTTTAAGAAAGGGGGGAAAAAAACGCAGCAGCTAAGTTCAGGAAAGCAGAAAACCACATCTCAATGTGTGGGTGATGCTGCTCTGTGCGTTATCACCACATCCTCCAGGGGCCTTGTTCATGTGTTAATTTAGATCCCACCTTTCTTTCCGGAGTCCAAGGTTCAATATGCACATTCCCTCCCTCCTCTATTTTTCTTATTAAAAACTACCTGATAAGTTGGCCTGAGGGACAGCAATTGCCCCAAAGTTACTCAATGAACGTTCAGGGCTGACTGTGGTTGAACCTGAATCATCCCTGCCCAACAACTCAAACATCACACCAACTAGCTCTTATTCAGTGCAACTCCCCGATCATTTTCCTCTCTTCTGATATAAACGAATCCTTATCAGCTTTGGTCCAAATGTTAAGCAAAAGAGTCAATCTGAGAAGTTCCCCTATTTTATATATTCCAATGCTAACTCCAACTCACCCAGCTTCAACCTCAGCCTCAAAATGGTGGCATAGGCAAATGGATACATTTGGAATGCTTGATGTTTTGTCCTCCTTCTCCCATGAAAGTATTCCATCCCTTATTATATGTACGGGGCCAACTTAGCAGAAGAAAAGCCTGCTAAGTTATTCTCTACTTGTTGCCTTCATGTAAGCTGAGTGAAACTCCCATTAGCCCAGTGGGCTGGATCATGCAGGGAATGAGGGGGACTTTGTGTCCAATTCTTAAGCAGTGTAACCATCTAGAAAGAGGGCACTAGCTATTTTTGCCATATATTGTTTATGTCAATAGCACAGTGTGAGCAATCAGATATCCTCTAGATTTGTTTGCTTACATTTTCGACCAGTAGTTAGAAATTGTGTGTATTGCCGTCTGGAACACAATAACCAGGGTATCAGGTTGTTTATTCGGAACAGCATCACAAAGGGAAATTGACTCATTCATTTATTTAATTTCAGCACTATCCAACTCGAGAGAGACTCTTAAGAGATTTGAAGCGACGGTAAAGTAATAATTTCCTGAACTCTATGGACCACATCAGAACAAGCTTCTTAAAAATGAAATGGGGACAGTAGATAAAAATAATAGGAAAGTATCCTGCAAAACTGGGACAAAATAAAGAAAGCAAGACTTGTGTATTTTTTTGCTATCAAATCATCCATACAATTATATTTGAATTGCTTGCTTTAATCATTAATCTACTTATAACTTCAGATTTTAGAACACATATATCATGCTATTTTCCAGCATAATCGATCTTCTTATAACTTTTTAAAGCTCATCTTGTTATGCTGTATGCTGCTGTAAAGAAGGTACCCTATCCCCTTACGTCACCCCCTCTTCCAAAATTAGCAGGCCTGATCAAAAAGCTCTGTCTTAATTCTGCAAGAAAACAACCAAGCTCAGAGAGCATTAAGGACCTCTCATGGACGTAATCAGTTTATAATATTCTCCACTTCTTTATTTTTTTTGTATTCTACATTTTATAAACCAACCAAGGTCAGTAAAACTACCACACGCCAATAGTATCAATCAACTAATACTAATTAATCCACTAAATACAATCCAAATTAACAATTCACCACAGATCCAGCCACAGTTCATGATGGGCAATTAAGTGCTGATGAATTCCTGTCTAAATTAGTCCTAACTGGGTTTCCAAAACCTTGTGCACTTCCATTCAAATATTAAGTAAATCCAACTTTTTTAAGCTCAGCCACTGCCAATGAGATGAGATCACTTCCTGCACTTATACTGATGAACCACCATGGACACGTCAGTGGGAGAAGTTTGAGCCAGGACCACAAACTTATTTTAGCCAGTCTAGTGTGTTGTATGGATCTCAGGGAAATACTTTCAAAACCATGCCCTCTTTTCACCATTCAAGTGAAAATCAAACACATTTTTTATGTACATAATATTTAATTTTCAATATTTATTTTTTCCTCACTTAAATGAAAGGTCTTTCAATTCCCTTTCCCCCGACAAATCTATTCTTTTTCCAATAGCCTGTTCTTAAGTGGCTCATGAAATCAGATATGCAAATACACTATCTCTTGGTTTCCTTTTCCTCTTTAAAAATGCTTATTTAATCCTACCAAGGATCTGATTGCACACGCCACAAATTTGGAACTCAAATATATATGGAAACTTTCTCTATGAAGATGACTAAGATGGGGGGAAATTTGCATTTTGTACTTGAGAGTCGAGACTCTGCTTGGGTTGGATTAAATCATGTTAAAATCTGCTTGCTTTTTTGGTTACAGATATACAGGCAGAAAATAGTGTTCAAAACAAACCATGGCCCCAGATTATAAAACAGCAGGTTGTATATTAGAAAACACTTTGGCACATGTGCTTAATAGAATCAAATTACTAACTGGTCTCTCAAGGAAGGATAGCAAGGACAAAGAGACTAAAAACTTCAGAACAGGAACTGCAGTATTTTTAAAAACAAGCAAAAGATTTTTTTTTTTAAAAAAGAACACTTCTTATAGCATTTAAGGCTAATCTTAATAAAAAGTTCTGGATCTCCAAAACACAGGTGGTCTTCTCTCCAACCTTTGCCATACATTTCCCAAATAATTAGAACTTCCTGGATTTAGTGTTTATCTTTTACCCTATCACAGCAGGATGGACCCACCCAAAGCAAAGAGACTCAGCCTATATCCTGATAGCACACTTAGCTATTTTCCATGATAGCCCAAGCATGAAAGGCAGATACAGTAGAATTATTTCTACTGTAACAAAACAAGAATATTTGTATTTGTATCCTATTATTTATTGTTTTAACAAATAACTCATGGAGGCAAACATCCAGCATACCTTCCTCCTATTTTCTCTACAACGATCCTGCAAGATGAGTTGGGCTGAAAAAGAGTGACAGACCCAAAACCACCCGGCTGGCTTTCATGGCTAAGGCAAGACTGGAACTCACCAGCTCCTGCTTCCTAGCCTGGTGCCTTCACCACTAAACACAGGCAGCCAGAAGCAGAAATTCCTCTTGGCCCAACTCCAGGGAACACGAAACTCACCAGGTCTGATGTGGATGGAAGAGGAAACAGAGGGAACTTCCATATACTTTTGATTTACGGCTGTCCTTTACAATAGATCAGTGTTTCTCAACCTTGACAATTTTAAGGCATGTGGACTTCAACTCCCAGAATTCCACAGCCAGCAATGAAGTCCACATGCCTTAAAATTGTCAAGGTTGAGAAACACTGCAATAGATTGACCCACACTTGTTATGATTCACCAGTCTCAACATATTTAGGGCACATATTTTACACATACACATGTATGGATGAAGGAGAATATTTGTAGCTCAGAGCTGAAATGAGGGGTCCTTGGTGCTCTCTGAACTTGCTTGTTTTCTTGCAGACGTTTCATTACCCTAACTAGGTAACATCATCAGCGACACCAGAATATAAACCGACAGCAAACAGCACTCCTTACTAGCACTGATGATGTAACCTAGTTAGGTAATGAAACGTCTGCAAGAAAAGAAGCAAGCTCAGAGAGCACCAAGGACCTCCCACACACACACACACACACACACGTATAGAGGACTCCTTCAAAGAACAAGCAAAGACCCAGTATTGGAACACAGTGAATTGGAGCCACAATTAATTTGCCTTGCAGAAGTGGTTTCAATACTTGTAATTATAAAGCAATCCCTTAAGGGTCAAGGCCAGGGGGTAGGCAACCTTGGCTCTTTTATGACTCGTGGCCTTCAACTCCCAGAATTCCTGAGCCAGCCATGCTGAGGGGAAAGGGAGAGGTTTCCAAGCTGAGCCCTGCTGGCTCAGGAATTCTGGGAGTTGAAGTCCACGAGTCATAAAAGAGCCAAGGTTGCCTATCCCTGGTCAAGGGGAAAGATATGTTTGCTTTCCAGCATCAGGAATGGGTTTGATCTGAGGATGCAAAATAACTGCATTTTAAATGGGAAAAAAAATCCTAAGTGGAAAATATCACCTCTGCCGTTTCTTGTTCCTCGTCACTGAATAAATAGAACAGTGTTAACTTCTCTGTTAGGGATACTGCTTTGATTAACAGGGCACTTTAGGATTAATGTTTCTATAACAAAAGAGTTAAGAAAAGATTTTTAACCTTCCCCCCCCCCTCAAATTGTTTTTATAATAAAATGACACTTCTCGTGACAATGATATATGGATTTCCCGCTTAAACTAGCACATTCACATGGTAGCCTTCTTCCTTACCAGTTTTCTCATACATTTTTCATTCAGAATACCCAGGAACATTCTTTTGAATATTTGTTTAAACTGACCTTATACATACCTTAGGTCAAGGGTGTCAAACTTGCAACGTCATGTGACGTGTTGTGACTTTCCCCCCCCCATTGCCGGCAATGGGGTGGGCGTGGTTTCGCTATGACGCATCCGGCCTGTGGGCCGGCATTTTGACACCCCTGCATTAGGTTTTCCCTTGTATCAGGGGATTATCCCCTATACTAGGAACTTCCAAACTTGGCAACTTTTAAGAACTTGGGAACTGACTGACTGGGGAATTCTGGAAGTTGAAGTTCACAAGTCTTAATGTTGCCAGGTCTGGAGTTCCCTGCCTTACACTATCAGGCTTCTTTCAGACAGCCATCATCCTATTCTTTTACTACTTGCTACTAGTTGTTTTACATAGTCCTATGAAAAAATACATTAATCCAGGGGTTCTCAACCTTGGCAACATTAAGTTGCCAAGGTTGAGAACCCCTGTGATTAATCACTAATTCAAACAAGTGGCGCAGCAAACAGAAATAAAACAGAAAAGAAAAGAAAAGAAATCCACACCATTTACTCTTTCTACGTTTGCTTTTTCCCCCTTTGCATTCAGATTATTCTATTGTGAAGGGGCAATGCTGTCTGGACAAGCATAAACAGACTATCTTGAAATAACAGTGCCTATCAAAAGTCTATTTTTGTTTTCGCATTACAGCCAGGCAACATCTGGCTGTTGCGTACATTAGAACAAATAATTCCACCAACTCCACTGTTCTGCCAAACAAAAGTTGGCTTACCGTTTCTAGAGAGAAAAAATCAACTACGAAGCTTTTCCAGAGTAGAAAAAGGATAACTTGGCACTTTCATGATTTGATTCCTGAACCATCCCAGATAATTATTATATGTAGCTAAACCTGTTCTGAGATAAGATGCCAATTCTTGTGACTTTGGTCCAAACAGAATTAAAGAGAGGCATAGTCATAATTTATTTTCTCACTAAGCATAAGGCCACCAAATGTTATGCTGAAAAATGACTTTCCAGATCATAGTTTCCCTTATGTAAATGGGGCCGAACAACAGGAAATAAACTAAATTTTAAAGCCTACACGAAGCCCACACACAAAATGTGGTCTTTTTTTAAATCTCTGGAAAGTAAATTCCCAGTAACTATCAACTTGCTCCTCTATAAAACTCAAAACAGTGGAAACCTAGCACATATTTGGGCAGGGGTGTGCAAAAAGGGTTCTCCCGCATTATTTAGTATCTTGATAATTTTCCAAGAGAAAAATTGTTATACATTTCTTCAAAAACAGGCAAACAGATATCTGAATCCAAGAACGAATGCCATTTTGCCACCAAAGTATATTTGTATATATATTTTCACTGTTCAAATACAATTAAAAACATGTACATAAAATCAGATTATCAAGATGCATCTCATTATTTGAAATGTAGATACGGATATGTATATATGGGACATAATACTACTACAAAATATTTCAGAGTCTAGAACTAGGGATAGAAGACTTTTTTAAAAAGCAAGATTTCACATTTAATTCCCTTTTCTGTTTCACACTATAAGAATGCTCTTCACCCAGTTGTATTTATCATTTGGATTGTATTAAGAGAGAGAAAGAGAACAAACATATGGCTAATTCACCTTCTTGCGATTAGCAAAATAAACACTATACAGTACTAAGAAAGGTCAATTGTCAAGTTCCTTTCATCCATTTGGTCCAATAAAAAACTCCCATTTCTCCAAAAGGAAATTCCAAGTTCTACAAGGGTATTGGGGGAGCCGTAAAGAGCACTGAATAACTTGCTTATATGTTAGCTCTTGCAATTTAACTAATTTAATCCAACTGCATCGACATAAAGCACTCCCAAGTGCTGCTGGGAAAAACCAACATCCTTTTTTAAATACAAAACCTCAACTGATCCCAGGGTTCCTTCCGTTGCTCCCACCTGTCCCTCACAAAGCCCACACCAAACTTTCTGTCTGTGTACGTGCATTTTTTTCATACTACTCTACCAGTTCACCCACAAATTAGTATTACTCCATAGCTGTATTTATGTATTAAAGGATATTGAATAAAAAAAAAACTATATTTTTTGCAGAATTTCCTTCATAATTAAAAAATACATATACAAAATATAAAAATATATTAAAAACAAATATAGAAACAAAAAATGGAAACTGAGGTATTTAGACCCAAGTGGGAAAGCTATTCAGATCTTGTATGGGCACACTCACGTACCTGTCAGCAATTCCTTTAAAAAAACTGTCCCTTTTGGGGAGCTCATATGACAATCAACGAGACCCCCAGAAAATCCCGGATGTGTTTGAGTTAAGGAGGCAGTAAAGATACAACCCACGGGGCAATAATAGGGCAAATCCATTTCCTGTGAACAAATGTCCTTGCAACAAAAAGGATAGTCAGCTTTTAAAACCGTCTGGGCTGTACTGCCCAGAATTTGTCACAATAGGTATTGAAAAGGGATGTAGAAAGTTAAATTTATTTCTGTGGTTGAGCAACATAGCAAGTCATGTTACTTATGCAGAATTAGGATATGTAATCCAGATCAGTAAAAGTGCTTTGAAAGTCTTGCTGCATTCCACAGAACCTTGTTTGCCAACACCAGAAACTGGCCCTATGCTGCAAGCAGATCAGCAGACTTTGCTGCCATACAGAGAATACCGCAATGGCTGCTATGGTAAAAGCAACAATTTTTGCCACATCTGTCACTGAAAGGATAATATGCAGCTTCTAGTCTAACAGGAAACCACCAAGTTCTGGAACCCTGGTGGTTGACAATTTCATTGGCCAAACTGATACCGAAAGTCTCAAAATGTTCAGCTATTTGTGGACTGAACTTTCTACTTCAGCAGTTCTTCATGTTTTTTATGGAGAGTTATTTGTGCATTGGCTGGTTTTATACTAGGTCAGTAGTTGCCATATGAAACCATTCCTATATGGAGAGACAGAGAAGCACATCTTCCTTCTAGCATATTAATTATATTCACCCATTGTAATAATAGCAATAATATGGTTTGTTTGGTTTGGTGGGCCATGTAAATCCAATTGTTTTGGTTTAAGCCCGTTTTACAGAAGTTGAGTGAACTGTGGCTTACTCAACATGATGACTGAGCAAGGCATGACATAGTAATGCTGTACGAAGCCAACCATTTTCTTACAACAGTGGCTTCCAACCTTTTCACTGAAATCTTTGGAGGATTACCTCATACGTCTAGATGAGCAATGCAAATCCTATGGGCACCATAGCATAACCAACCCCTTTTCAGATATTCTCCCAGGGATTTCAAAATTAATCTATAGAAATACAGTTGGAATCTCATGAGATTTTGATACTCTTTTCCAAAATCTCACGATAATTCAATCAGGAACACCAATACCTTGTGAGATTTGGTGATCTTACAAGATTTCAGCTATTTAAGGAATACCATTAAAGTGAAGTTTAAATTTCCATTGGTAAATTAATTTATGCTATTTGTGAATTGTTAGGTGTCATGGAATTATATAATCCAGTTTTAGTTTTGTTTTCGATCCAAGATTTTACATTTGGGGCTTTTGTATTGAAAATGAAACTGTTCTTGGAAAGGAATTAGTATTACTAATTAGTATTAGTATTTCTTCCAAACCTAGCAGTCTAGTCATCAGGAAAATTACTGATTTAATAGGTTTTAGATATACAAATATAAGTTCCTCAGATGTTGACTTCTGTAGAAATATAGTGCAAACCCAAACACTGACCAGGTCACAGGATAAAATTGTAAATATAGAGTTCTTCTACTAATGTTTTAAAAACCTGTTAAAAGACAACAAAATGTATGGCCAAGCCTTCAGGAACAAGTACTAGCAGATGGAGCTTAAACTAGCACCCTGATGGCTATATATAATGCTTCTCCAGGGATAGTACAAACAGAAGTCAAACATATTCCAAGTAAACATATCCCAGAAATCTTGGCTGGGGAAGGGGCCCAACGAGGATATCCATAATAAGTAATCTTCACTCTTTAAGACCAGAATCAGCCCCCTTATTAACTTACCCAGAATATAAAGTTGAAGAAAAACACCAGGTATTTAATACACTTCATCCCACCTTCCACTCCCATCTTGCGTTTTTATTTCTGTAAGGAACAGAACGAGAGGAGAGGGAAGGAGAGAAAATCATTACAGGGACAAGGATAAGGAACAGTCTATTAATAAAATGGAGGTTGTTTAAAAAAAAAAAAAAGGAAACAGGAAACTTGGGAAAGTAGAGCAAGCAAGAAACAGAGACCCGCAATTCCAGGAATCGCGATCAGCTTTATTGAAGGAAGGGGAAAACCCTGGCCGAAATCCTTTGCTTATTAGTAACTCGACAGTATCAGGCTACTCGAGGGAAAACAGGGAGCGGACTAAAACAGAACACGCGCTCCAGCCAAGAAGTTCCTAATCCGGGACAACACCCAAACTTCCCGTTCTCCCGCCCCACCTTGCTCCTTTACGTAAATCCCCCGCGCTAACCCCCGCAGCGCCGACTCCCAGCCCACAGGCCGGTCCTTTCTCCCATCCTCTGGAAATGCTTTTGTGGGGGGTAGGGGGGACGGAGAGGGAAGAGAGGAGGAAAAAAAGGCCCCCGAGCAGCGTGGCAGAGCGCCCTGCCTCGCCGACCTAAAACTACGTCCGCTACTAAGGCGTCGGGTCCCCTCCCGTTCTTCCGTCTCTTGCTAAGCAGCGCCAGATTTCACAATCGAGAGCCTTGGGGAAGGGCCGGGGGGGAGCGGGCCGGAGTAAGGGAAGGGGGGGGGAAGACTAGGGCAGAGTGGAGAAAAAAAGCCCCTAAGTCCAAGGCTACTAGCGGAGCGCTTGGCTGCATTTCCCCCTCCCTCCTTCTCGCCCGCTTTTTACTTCCCAAGCCAACCATTCATAACCCCCACGCCCCACCCCCGGTGATCCTTTGGCTTACCTTCCTCCTTTAAGTAAGAGAAAAAGAAGAAGAAGCCCTCGCCGACAGGCTACGTCTCGGTAGTAAAAAGCAAAGCGTCGCTTCCTCGCGTCTTATACACCTCCTCCGCCCCGCGTGCGCCTTCTGTCTCCGCGGGCGTCACTACTCCTCGTCTCGGCTTCGTCCCGCCCGGCCCCTCCCCTCCCGCTGGTCATGTGAAGGGAGGAAGGAAGAACAAGCGGCCGGGGAGGCGAAACCTCAAGCTGAGGCTCCGCCAACTAAGTCAACAGGACGCGCGAAGGGGAAGATAGCGGGAGCAGCTGACTCAATCCGCGTCCGAAGAGCGCTGACTTTCTCCGGCCTTTCCTCACCGCGCCGCTCCCTCCGCCCGTAAATCAGGAGGAACCGCCTTGGGACTGACTGGCTGTGAAGTGGCGTGGAAGCTGGTGTGGCTCCGTGCGCTCCCTCGGATCTGACCTAGCAAGCTGTAAACTCGCAGATGGAAAGGCGGCGAGGGAGGAAAGGCAAACACGGCAAAGGAATAAATAGGGAAAACATTCCTCGCACGTATGAGTGACTCCTGCATTCGTGTCCGCTTTCTAAATTCCCCTTCCTGGGAATGAGTGTAAAGACCCTTTGAATGCAGTGGATTGCTTCAGGAGCGGGACTTGTATGTAATACACAACGCCTCGACTTACAACAGTTCACTTAGTGACTGGTTCGAAGTTACGATGACAGCGGAAAAAAGTGACTTAAGACAGTTTTTCACACCTACCACCATTGCTGCATCCCCATGGTCACGTGATCAAAATTCAGATGCTCGGCAACTGACTCATATTTATGACGGTGGCAGTGTCCTGGAGTCATGTAATCTCCTTTTGCGACTTTCTGACAAGCAAAGTCGATGAGGAAGCCAGATTTATTTAACAATTGTTTTACTAACTTAACTGCAATGTTTCACTTAACAACAACAGGAAGAAATTGCAAAGTGGGGCAAAACTCACTCAAATGTTTCACTTAGCAACTGAAATGTTGGGCTCAATTGTGTTGTAAGTTGAGGACTACTGTACCCAGTTTTATCCCTGTGAAAACAATCCTGCAAGGTAGATTGGCCTGAAAGGTACTGACTGGCCCCTAAATCGCCCAGTGAGCTGAGGGTAAACTTCCATGGGAGTCTCTCAACTTAAATTCAGCATCCTAACCACTACATCACACTGGCTTCCAGCCTCCCTCCTCCCTGGCTGGGCTAGGAATTGTAGTTCAAAAAAACAAACAAAAAAAAAAAAACACAAAAACAAATCTGTAAGCCTACAGAATGTCCCATATCAAAGTTTTAATTTCTTGGACTGTTTTCTTAATTCCAAAAACTTGTTTGGGTTTGTTTTTGATTGCCTTTTTAAGACTTGAAAGACAAGATTAGGGACAAATCATCATGAAGAAAAATCTATGTGGTTGCTAAGAGACCATGCCAACTTTCTCCTGGTCTTTCAGAAATGCTTGGCCAGGCTCTGCTGCTGGCTTAAGGCCCACAGAGGAACATGCAGCCATGTTTTAATTTTTATGTCTATTTGTCACCTCCCAGAGTTGTTGTACAAGAGAAATGATTGGTTTCTAAATATGATGTAAATAAAAATTAAAAAATGAGATCGGAAATAACTTTCAGGAGTTAGCATATTTTTATAATTATGCAGAAGATGGAATTTCACCATGTAGAATTTTTATCCTGTATCTTTTCCCATCAAGACTGGCATATCAGTATTCTCAGATCAACATCTGTCAGGAACTGAGATGAACATGTTTCAGAACTGCTTTGGAAAGAATGATAATACAACTAGTCCTCGACTTACAACCACAATTGAGCCCAAAATTTCTGTTGAGGCATTTGTTAAGTGAGTTTTGCCCCATTTTACAACTTTTCTTGCCACAGTTGTTAAGTGAATCATTGCAGTTATTAACTTGGTTGTTAATCAGGCTTCCCCATTGACTTTGCTTCTCAGATTGCAAAAGGGATCACATGATTCTGAGACACTGCAACTGTCATAAATATGAACGTTGCCAAGCATCCAAATTTTGATCATGTGACCATGGAGATGTTGCAATGGTTGTAAGTGTGAAAAATGGTCATAAGTTTCTTTTTCCAGTGCCACTGTAACTTTGAACGGTCACTAAATGAATGTTGTAAGTTGAAGACTACCTGTATCATATGCTTCTTAACTGTCTTGTCCCTTCAAATCTCATTCAAGAATTCAAGTGAATAATTAAAAAATAATAATTTAGACCTGATAAGGGGAGACAGGGCCAAAACATTAGATTAAAAGAAGGGATCATTAGCTATAGCCAAACTAGTCTTTTTTAAAAAATCACTTTAAAGAATGCTTCTGTGGACTTGTGTAAATGGACTAAATATTTAAGAAAGGCATTATATGTGCAGATGGGTAAATGAGAATGCTTTTAATTGATATAGAAATACAGAAGCAGAAGTACAATGAGGAAGTTAACAAAACTACAGTAACTGCCTTTTGGTGCCATTGTGATCAGGCAGTGGCTGGGAAAACCAGCCTGACTACTGTGTAATTTAACTGACAATGCCTGGCTTTCTGTAATAAAGCCTATTGAAGTGTTTATTAAATTACTGTTAATTTTTAATGGTGTTATCGGCTGAGCGGGCAGCAGAGAAAGTATAACAGGTCATAGTACATAGAATAATTCAGAACAATTGCTTTGTTCATAGGATTATTGTTTTTGATCATTTTCTCAAGTATAAAACCAAAGGTTGTTAATGTAAAAAAATGAATTCTTTTAAGGCTAATTTTCAAAATATTACTTTATAATCTCTGTAGCCTACCTGGAGTAGAGTAACTAACTTAACATTACATATCTGCTAAGAATTCTACATACATTAACCTAATTGAATTCCTGATATAATCACTATTAAGCAAACCATTTCAGTTGAACTAAAATTCCCCCTGGAAAGAAAAAAAGGAATACCAATTGGCCATATCTGTACATGTGTAGAGAAAAACACTTCTGAAAATAAAGTTTTTTCAAGTTGTTTCCAGTCAATTTACAGTTTCTTATAGATCAACTGCTATCTGAATTAGGGCAACATGCTTCCAGGGATTTGTTTTCAATAATGTTCATTAGAATGTGGTTTTGGCCACTGTTATACAGAGAGGGGTGAGAATGTTTCTTAATAGCTATTTAATTTCAACCAATTCAATGTGAAGCCACTGGCACACCAATCAAAGCAAAGCAAAGCACCCCTAACCAAAGCCTCAGGCTGCTCTTCTAGCAGGAGCTATAAGGCTAGGGCAGTGTTTCCCAAACTTGACAATTTTAAGGCATGAGGACTTCAACTCCCAGAATTCCACAGCCAGCAACGCTGGCTGTGGAATTCTGGGAGTTGAAGTCCACATGCCTTAAAATTGTCAAGTTTGGGAAACACTGGGCTAGGGGACACACCAAGTCATGAACCTGCCCCTTCAGGAGAAGTACTTCCCCATCAAGACACCACTGGGGTAGGCAGAGAGCCTTGATGAACAAATCATAGCTGTCTTTTTGGGATTCCATTTTATCTTGTTCTCTTCTATCCAGACCTGCAGTCTCCAGGCATCTGATCAGGACTTCCAACAGTATCACCAGTCAGACCTGGAGATGCATTGTATAGTTGTTTATCATTGGCATGGTATAAAAGCCCAGATTGTTGGATGATTTCTTTCTGTGACTTCATGTAGATCAGTGGTTCTCAACCTTTTTAATGCCGCGACCCCCAACTGGTCGTAAGTTGAGGACTACTCAACCGGTCGTAAGTTGAGGACTACTCAACTGGTGCAGCACCGTTTGCAGAATAGAACTTTTGGCAGGCTCAGCAGGGCAGAGACAGCCTGGACAATTCCTATTGGCTTCTGAAAGCCAATAGAATAAAAGGGAGTAGCACAGCTAAGGAAAAGGGGAAAAAATGGCGGACTGCATTGTTTGGCGACCCCGTGAAATTGTCGTTTGACCCCAAATGGGGTCCCGACCCACAGGTTGAGAACCACTGATGTAGATGTTAAATAACAGTGGGAAGAGCACCAATCTCTGTGGCACCCCAAACAGGAACAGCGACTGAGCCAATCTCTCCCCCATCCCCCAACTGAAACCATAGATCTAAGGCAGCGGTTCTTAACCTGTGGGTTGCGACCCCTTTGGGGGTCGAATGACCCTTTCACAGGGGTCGCCTAACCGCCTGCGGCTCCGGAGCCTCCTCCACCATTTGCAGAGAGAGAGAGAGAGAGGCACTTGCGCTTCCCTTCTCTCTCTTTCTCTCTCTCTCTCTCTCTCATGCAGACTTGCCCCCTCGCAGAGCTCCTGATTGGCCCTGCAGCCAGGTGCCCTGCCCCCTGGGAGAAGGGTGGCCAGGAAGGCCCTTTCCCTGGCTGGCCCCGTCCGAGGTGCACGTGGCCGGGGAACTGCACAGGGAAGCCTTGAGATCCCCTTTGGGAGTGGCCCGGCAGAGCCTCCGCTGAGCGGGCCAGCCGTCCCGCAAGCCACAGCCCTAGTTGGCCAAGTAGCAGCAGAGCCGGAGACGGAGAGAGAGTGGCAGGGGTAGGGAGGGGGCTTTGAGTCCGTGGAGCACCCCCGTGAAGCGACCTTGGGCAGGTAGTGCGCCCCCCCTGGCTTACCTGCACCAGGTGGAGGGGCAGCCGAGCCGGCCATGCGTCTCCCTGGGCCGGGTGGAAGTCCCGGCTGGGGCGATTCCTGGGCCATCCCTGGGCCGCTGAGCTGGCCATGTGTCTCCTGGGCCGGTGGCCGGCAGGGGCTTCCTGGGCAGTTCCCAGGCCGCTGAGCCAGCCACGCATTTCCCCGGGCCAGGTGGCAGTCCCGGCTGGGGCGGCAGCCGGCAGGGGCATTGGTTCCTGGGCTGTTGAGCTGGCCATGTGTCTCTCAGACTGGGCGGCAGTCCTGGCTGGGGCGGCGGCATTGCTTTGGTCCTGGCAGGGCTGGTGGGATGGCGGATGGCAGGGGCATTGGTTCCTAGCCTGTTCCTAGGCCACTGAGCTGCCCACGTCTCCCCAGGCTGGGCAGCAGTCCCGGCTGGGGTGGTGGTATCACTTCGGTCCCGGTGGGGGTGGCAGCATCCCGGTCCAGTCCGTGGTGCCCTGGGCGCCTTTCAGCGCCTTCTGCTGCCTCCTGCCCC